CGTTGGACAACACGAGAGTCCGTTCGAGGGCTCTCGAACAATTACCTGGCCTTTCCCAGTCTCCGAAATGCGCGGAGATGAGCAAGGTCTCAACTAAAGGGAAGGAAAAGCCTTCCCTGTCGTCGCTTAATCCGATACTGACATGATCGTACCAGTTGAAATTGTTGAGGAGATCCCTCAATCACGCTCTGTCCCTTACAGGATTGGAGAATCATCCAAATCTCCTCCGTCCGCGTCAAAACCGTCGGAAAACGCTGCACCCATAGCAGCGTTAAAATCAACGTCGCAGCTAAAAGCTGCCACGAAAGCAGAGTGTCCCCTCGAGCTCCGACAAATTGTCGAAGTTGAACTGCGACGCGCGGCCGAAACAGCGGCAAATCTGGCGTCGAAGCTACCCTTCTCTCTTTGACCAACGGGTCAAATAGACAATTTGTAGACTCGATGAGAGTCTACCTACGTGCCGCCATTGCGTAATACATGGCTACGTGCCCGGCCTTTACGCCACCCGTCCTCCCTCCTCGCCCGGCGAACCCAGTCCCAAGGGCTCCCGACGCACGGAGTACACCACTTCCTGCCGTCCTAGTACTGCCATCAAAAAGCTCCTGGGCCACGGTGGCAAAAAACGGACTGCGACAGAAAGCAGTCCCAGCTGTAAAGGCTGTGCTGCAACCTGCGGCAAAGGCCCCGAAGGCGAATGTCGACAAACGACTGTTCCTTCGCCTAGAAAAGGAGCATCTGTGGTGCCAGCTTTCGCCTGCCGGCATACGGCAACAACTACAGATTAGGCTACGGTGCTCTTTGAGTGCCGCCTGCTCTGTATACCGTGTCAGAACCGGCTTTGCGATTTTTATAGGGAATGAAAATATAAGGGAAGAGCTGCTAGATGCCGCACCGAAGTTGTCGGAATTCAAGGCCAAGTTCGAGGAAGCCTCCAACATTGTCGCCATTCGGATCGCGAATGTTCCAGCGATCATAAAAACACTTAACAGTATCGATACGGTCGATGCGGACAGGATCTCATTTGAGATCTACCGAAAAACACAACGGTTTCCAATTCAGGTACGACCGCACGGGACATGCCGTTCTGGGGCGCCATACAAAAATTGGTACGCCATTTTCGACCGGGACTCCGCCCCTTGCGCAGGTTTCCGCATTCTCGGCGAGTCTAGAGTGGCGACCGTTCTCAAGTCCCGTCCACAAATTGAACAGTGCAAACGCTGTTTGGACTTCCACGCCACCCGTGGTTGCTCCCGCGCTCCAGCCTGCTGGAACTACGGCTCCAATATGCACTCGGAAGCCGAGTGCAAGGCCCTTATAAAGTGTCGCAACTGTGGGGGACCCCACCGATCGGATAACCGTGACTGCCAAGTCAGACCCAGAAAGTCCGGACCGGTGACCAAAGAGCAGCTCGCGTGGATTCGCCACCTCGAGCAAGGGAAGTTCACAAAGGTGGCTCGAGCTAGGGCCGTAGTCAAAAAGGCCGAAGAGACGATCATGGCCGCGGCGAAGTATATCTCGATGGCCGAGGCAACAAGTTTCGGAGTGCTGGAATCTGAAAAAGAAGTTTGAGGGAACAGCGACCTCGACGATGTCCCTTCTGGGGCATCTACTAACTTTTAGCAGGATACCGGCTGGATAAAAGGTGCCTGCTAACCCATCTTTTGCTCTCGGCGGAGGATGGTAAAATTTGTCATTTGGAAGGTGTGACGGACGACAGAATGTCCGAAGAGCACACTGCTTGGGTCCAATATGGAGGAATCTTCTGATTTTCGGAGTTGCTTTCGATTTTCGTAATTTTTGTTTCTGTTTAACCAGCTGCATCTTTGGCATCGATTCATGAGGTTGGAACGAGTTAAGGCTGTAGGAAAAGTTACAGGGAATCTTGCCGGCTTCACCCATTGTGGATAATGAGCGTTAGCTTAGGACCCATTCGTAATAAATACATAAAAAACATCCAGCACCTCACTCTAGTTACTTGACTAGCACTAGCGTTATGATCCTGTCAACAAAGAAATTAATTTTATATCCCAGAGCGTCATAGACTCAGGAGTAGAGAAACAAACAAAATCAATGAGCCAATTTCGCGACAAAAATTTGGCTCTGGTGAATTATTTTGCCCCAAGGTTTGTGGAGAACACTGCTAATTCGATTTCGATCTTCGTACTACAACTCTTCCCCCGTCTGAGAATGAGGCTCGATTTTGGCATTCTAATTTTCATCACTTGATTTGATAAACTTTGCCGTGCTGACGAATTCAAAATTTGCCGACGCTTGGCTCTTATCCAGCACGAAAATTACGAGGGCTAACTGTTGTATTTAGATAGTTATGCATATAAAATCGTTGAACTTCTAAGGTTACTGAGCAGCAGACATATACTAAAGTCCGTGCATGATGAATATCACGTGGCTATCTTGGCTAGTACTTGCCAATCACAGCACTAACTCTTTCTAAATTTAATTGACAAAGAAACAGTTCTCGGATGAAATAGGATGTAGGCGTAGATAAGAATTCCTCTACTTTTCCACAGGGGCTTTCACCCACTCTTCTTTCTTGTGTAACTGATAGAGGGAAAGTTCAAAAAGCCTTTGCCTACCCTTGCTTACATGCATCTTTATTCCAACTTAAGAGCCACGCGATAATCTGACGAGATTTAAACTAGCAATCTCATGCCTTGAGGGGGCAGGTGATGTGAGTTTTACGAATTTGGCGGTCACAGCTAAGATATCATATCATTATAACATCCAATCAACAAGTCCGGATTTTAGCTAAGCAGATGCGATGATATCTAAAGCATTCTAATGAAATCTGACTTTCATTCTAAGGAAGATAATATTATGATGAGGTTACGTAGGGTACTAATACTGACTCTGACGCTTGTAAGTATACCGAGAATTCTATGTATTATTTAAGTATGTAAATAATAGATAGTAAACTACTTGAATAAAACTACTCTCTAGAATACGGATATGGAAGAATAATGTGTAGGAAAAGGATGGATGTTTCTTTCCTACGTGTTTCTTTCCTACATGTGCGACAGATGACACCAAATTAGAACTCATGACCATTGCCAATCCTCAGCACACTCTTCTCCACCCATCGGGATTAAGCTTCCCCTAGATGATAACTGATAATGAGCTGCGCTTTATCGACATTTCGAAGACTCTCTTCAAGTTTCACATGTTAAGCAGCTGGATTACTCTTCATGATCCTCCTAACTCAAAGTATCCAATGGATCGCCAATTGTGTAACGGCTGGAATACAAATCGGAGTGAACAAGCAGCTCACAGCAGTATCAGGGGGCGTAGTTCTGCAAGGGAGCTCTCGATATTCCAAATTATGAACTAGTCGGAAATTAAGAGATTGAGATGGCAGATTCCAAGTCTAGTCGGAATCTTGTCCACTAGAGTTGGCATACGACAGGAGATTTTGAGTGGATTGCTAGACTGAGCTCAAAATTCCCCAGACATGGTCCTCAGTAAATGATGTCCATGCTGGAGTTTGGGGGCCAGTATTTTTCTCACCGCACGGATTATTCCTGGAGATGCTGGGAACTAATGCTTATTACCCTTATTCGTATGATCCGTCCCGCATCTGAGACACCGACTCTCATCCTAATTTGCTGCAGATCCACAATAGAATCTAGCTATAAGACTGCCCTATACTTCACTGGAAGTTTCCACCTGTGGAGATGACGGTGATGAGTGCTACACTTTCTGGGTACTGTGTGGAATAGTCTACATTCAAGAAATTATGCAGTTGATGCGAGTTTATATTTAGTAGGCTGAGGCAAATAAGTAATTAATGGACTGAGTCGACGAAATTAATTTTAGGTTTATCTTTAATTGGTTTAATGTAAGAAACTGTGTTTGTAGGAATGATGTATAGGCCGGAAGGGGTGACGTTGTACAAGGGGAGACAGTAGCTTCCTGCCCTTTCATTCCCAAGCGTCCGATAGACGCAGCAAGGGTGTCGGGCTTCGTAGCAAGGTCAAGTACACTTCTCGATCCGCGACACATAGACAATGATGACTAATATTTGGGGATAAGCTGCATCAGCTTCGACGTGCAGGACAGCGGGTCTCCCTGTTGCAGAAAGAGAAGGCAGCGGCTACGCCCTACGACTAACCCCAAGCTATTATACGCTGCAGGTCGGGGAGTGCTAAACACATGCTCGCCACCTGCGGATGAGCGACACGGGCACTTTCAGGGGTGTTCGGGCGGCTTAGTCTTTCGTTCCCGCGCAGAGCAATGAAAATGGTAAGGTCACAAGCATGAAAATGAGGCCGCTGGCACATTGGGAGCAGCGGGATTTCTGCTATTGCGGATCGATTGAGAGCCTTTTGGTGTCCCCCTGCCCTGTCCACAAGCAGTGCATTCAGTGGAGCGATGCGATAGTACGAAACCATCCCTTCTCTCGGTAGCCGGCTGGCCGCGCTCGCAGCCGTGCACATGTCCGCTTCACACCTTCGCTTCGACGGTGGGCAAGCTGCACAGCATCCCATATCCCTACATAATATTCGTCGCGGCAGCCATACCCCTTCATTCCTGGACAGCACACGCAAATCTCTAAAACCACTTGAAACCTGCCCGTCCCTTCCGGCAGCAGACATGATCAATGGAAACGCCCTAACATCGGACATCCCATACCATCACCTCTCTTATTTACTTTTTGGTCGCTACTCGCCTCTTCTCCCTTGAACTTGCCTCCATCTGACAGTAGGAAAAGGGCGCCTACGATCTACAGATATTTCCAGCTTCATGACGCCATACATGGGCCTGTTGAAGGGGCCGTTTTCCCGTCTGCTGTCGACCGCGGACGTGACAAGCGCAGAGGTGAATCAGTCGCATGATTGACTTTTTTCTTTATCATTCACGATCTAATGCCTGGGTTGCCTTCCCCCATCCATCTTATCAACCTGTGATCAGTGCGGATGCCTCTGTTCTTATTCACGTAGCAACCCTCCTTCGAATACTTTTGTCCGTAAAGCTCGTTCGCCCCAATGTCGTACACTGCTCTGGCATCACAACTCGTCCTGATAGTTTCGTTTCTATTCACACCAAACGTTCTCGCCGATTGCAGAGACTTCAAGCAATCACGAAACTACTACACACTATCTTCGCCCGACGAACAAATTATCTCCACTGGCTATGTCTGTGATGTGCCCAAACCAAATATATCGCCTTTGCCAGGTCAGCCGCAGTGTAATGCCACCAGCGAGTGTCCAGCAATAACGTCAGGCATCGTCACAACTATCGGTAGCAACAATCTTTCTCTGGGTCATGACGATGTTCTCCCACTCTATTCCCTCATTCCAACAAAGACTTACTACACCCCTCCATCATTCCTATACTCTCTTTCCGGGAATGTCACATCAGCAATTACCTGCCTGACTGCGCATATCGCCAACGGTACCGTCAACGATACAACTACCGCTGGATACTCTACCTTCATTCCAACTTTACTCTGCATTGAGGGTACCTTGAGCCAGTGCTCTGACGGCCCCGTCGATGATGGAACCCCAATTCAGCTTTGTGCCGTCAATGCACTCGATCTAGGCGCCGATGGTATTGTCCCAAACGGCGTACAGAAATGGATTGACACCGACGTTGATACCGCCCAAAATCTGACTGAAAATCCAGCCGAATCTCAAACGCCGATTGAAGCAGAAGCTGGGCCAGAATTAGAGAGCCTTGGAATCCCTCGAATTTTAGGTAGCGCGAAATTTTCGATAGCCCTAATCCTGGCATTTTCTATCGCTGTGGCTGCGTGAGATGGCCAGCACCCACTACACTCTAGTCTTGTGCCCGATTTTTAGTCCTACATGTCAAAGAAGACACGGTGGCCTATATCGATATAATGATAACTACAGCCTCAAAATACCTAGCTCAAGAGTAAGCAAGATAGTGCCTTCAGCCGGATCCACGATCCCCCGAAATTATTTCAATATAAATATTCGATTCACGGAAGACTCAGGAGTAAGACGGCGGGGCGTTAAATATGGACCATAAAAGGTCAATTTTTTATTAATATTAGGGCGTATGTCAGGATAAAAGCCCCAAAAGGTCTACATTGGGGTCAAGGTCAATCACGTCTTACCAAATATCTTAATTGTCATTTAAAGATTCCGATATCAGATTGCATCTTTATTTGCACGTGACGCATGTGTCTAGATGTGACATCTATCACCGACGTTGCGAGTAGATGCTTAGATGTGTTCACCAAGTATTATTATTAGAGTCTCGTCTTGTTGGCATATTGGATTTATTAAATGTAATACAGTGTCTATCGTAAAATATGCTCCTCCTGAAGAAATTCAATTGTTCTTCTCCTGGCGGTACCTAGACTGATGCTGCTATTTTGAATCTTACGTAAAAAGTATGAAACTGAGTCTAATTATGTGTATTACGAAATATGCAGATGTAATAGAATAGATTGTCGATGTGCGCAATGAAGGTGTTCGTGGACTGATTTATATCCAGTTTGATTCACCCTTCGATCCGTCATAAATCTCGTAGACTGTAGACCTTTAGATACAAATATGCCACCTTGGTGATAGCCCGCTGGCGTCAAAAGATTCAGAATATCCTTATTCAATTCCACAGGAAGATTTCCGACCTAACTAATTTCTTCTATCCATTGTTTGTCGCTCTATGTATCACCCCTCATCCACTTAGTAGAATTGGTATTTCGAGTCTAGGTGGCATCGGAATGAAGTTATGGCGTGATGTAAGGGTACAGGGCTGAATTATTAGCCTCGTGTAATTTTCTCATGTATCACTGTTGTAGATGTAGCAGAAACAAAAACACCTGTTCCAATTTGCATTGTTATCTGTTCACATACCGAGACACGGACCATCCAACGCTACCTATACCTCTCCGCTCTCTAGACAGTGGCTCGAAGGCCACTGCGTAGGCGTCTCTCACTCGGTGTCGCGCGATCAATTCATGATGGTAGACACCAAAGCAAGTCCGAAAGTTGAGTCAATTAATTATTTTAATTTGCGGAATAAATCGGAGGCATGACTCCTTTGTGTACCAAATTACAACTTGCAGATCACCATTGCCTTGAGAGTCACGGCGTTAATTGTTAATGACTTAATCTGACAACAACTCTGAGCCCAATGATGGCCAGCAAGACGAAGAGTAACATGGCCTGTCATTAAAGATAAAAGAGCGAAAATATATCATTTAGGAGATAATACCAATGTAAATAGGGTTGATTAGCTCAGAGTGGGTATGGGCATTAAATAAATAAATAGTTCAATTTTCCTGATTTGGCGGCTTGAGGCCCATGCAGACTCTTTCGGAAGATATGTATTTTATGTAGGATAACTCAATTTGATATTTGGAACACTTACTCAGAATTAATTTGCAGATACTATTTTAGTTCAACTCTTACGGCGTAACACTGAGACTCAACTTAGGTGATGGTAAAATACGGATATAAACTTGATTCTCTACTCAATCCAGCAAAAGCTAGTAATACATGTTGAGTCTTAGTAATAAAATCCTTGCTGTTTGCCTAAGCAGATACGCCAGAAGTCCGAATACTATCAATCACATAAATATCTACAACGATCAATTGATTAATTATTACGACAAGAACCTCTTATGTGCATACCCACCATAGGGAAAAGCGTGAAGAACACATGGTTATCTGAATGTACCTTCGTCACCCTACGAACACAACAACACCGCAAGAGAGCGTGGTATGTGGCTTACTCTAGATTTCAACTAGCTTTTTCCTGTCTCAAATTAGGTAGGCGTCCAAGTTATCAAAAATCTACTTGGGAGAACGGTCAAGACGGTGTACCACCGCAATATCCAACCTGGGTGTGAGCATTGTGAATGTTGTCAGAAGCCTCATATTGAAGAGGAGTAAAGTGCTTGTTGTATTTAAAAACATGTCATATTTCTGTCCATCGTAGGGCTAAAACTTAACACCTATATGTGGTATCCTCTACGAACCTGGGAGTGAAATATTCTCCCAGAGCCAAGTTCAGCCAAATTTCGCAATAACGAACAAGTTGGCCCTCGAGGCATTGATTCAAAATACCTCACCACGTCAAATTTTCACTCCCAACGAGTCCGAATCCTACCTAAGCCTCATCAAGTCTACAAGTACGACCTAGTACATCCTTATTCCAATGATCACACCTCTCGTCGACTTTCTCTGGCCTCAGCCGGTCACCAAATACACGCCCACGCCGATATTTATACCCGACGGAGGACACAAAGCGTGCCGTACAAATCTGGGAGATAGTTTATTGGGATTGGCATGAGAGGATTCAGGACAAGTCAACAAGATGATGCGAAGGATGGATTCAGTTTCGACGGGCGTAGAATTTTGAATTTTGACAGGAAGTTTTTACAAATTGAGCTTTATGCGTGCCAAGCCTTCGGTTGCGAGAGTGCAGGCGACACTATAAACATCGCCATGGTTGGATGGTGCGGTGGTACATCGTCTTGACCGGTCTGCCAAGTATAGTTTGGATAGCTTGGACACATATCCCACTTGAGACAGTAGATCGCTGGTTCAAATCCGGCAAAACACAACCACTTTTCTCGCGGCGCTGGTATGCATGGATGACAAAAGCATGCTTGAATAACCAAAGGTTTTGAAACGTCCCTTTGGTGGGTACTTACGGAGGAGGGTCGACTGTTTGTGTAAGCGAACATACCTCATAGTGGTATTTGCGAATGAAATCCAGAGCATGAGTGTCTCAAACGTCAAAAGAGTCATCCAATATGTAGACATAGCGCCAGCCATGTTTCATAGCTATATAGCTGCATACACATTAAATGATTTAAAAAAAGCCTAGTGGGGCTAAACAATGAACCCATAAATCCTGCCTAAGGCATTTCTCCAGAATATTTACACTACTGAAGGAAGTTGGGTGCAATATCAAAAAGCCAATTCAAGAGAGCAAAATCTATTGGGTGGAGTGTCACGGCGTAGAATAGGCACAAGTGAAAGTACAGCTTGTATGGCGATAATTCAATCTGTGAAGCAAATACTAAGCTGGAGAAGAATAGAAAAGAACAGGATCTCATTACAAAAAGCCCTGAGGCTATTCCTATTCGGGCAGGTTTCCACTAAATCGCCGCGTCCGTGCTCCTTCCTGCATCAGCCATCAGTCTCACATCCTCCCTCCACGTAATTGTATATCATGGCGGAGCAGAATGCCGTGCCGTGACATCACCCCCTCCTCAGCCTTCGATTGTCCCAAATCGACTAATTTCTGCGGCGGCGTTGGTTGTCACGACCTTGGTTGGTCACCATATTATCTTCCGGATGTTCCTCACTAAATCTATCATGTGCGGCATCGTCCAACCACGTAGCGAGACGTCTTGGTGGCCCTGGCAATTTAGGGTGCTCAGCGTGGAACTTTTCTAATATGAGGGGTGCGTTCCGAAAGTTGGCAGCCGGATACCATTCCTCGTCTGCGTCCCAGCCTTCCCATTGAACCTTGTACTGCAGCCGATTGCGATACAGCCGCGCGTCTAACACCTTCTCGATCTCCCATTCTAACTCTCCATTGACCTCTTCTGCCGGCGGCTCTGGATTGGCCTGGCCGGGCAACGGGTTATCTGGATCTTTGCGCAGTCGGTCTGGTGAAAATACAGGGTGTATTTTCCAAGAGGCGGGTAGTTGAACGCGGAATGAATGCCCTTCTTTGGCAATGATCCGATATGGTCCCACCATTGGATTTTCCAGCTTATCCGACGGTCTCGTAGTTCTCCAAGCACCGCGCCGGATATACACTTTATCTCCAACGTCAAAGTCTACTTCTCGGCGATGTTTATTGGCTTGAACACGCTGTTGTTCCTGTGAGCGTTTGATGCTCTCTTTAGCATAATCCAACGCGCTGCTAATCCGTTTAAGCCACACCGCGGCCTCGTCCCGATTCAGCTTCTCTCGAGGGGTTCGTGGTTCCAGTCGCTGATTCCAGTCAAATTCTAAACGCATTTCGTAACCATAGTCAATCATTGATGGCGACAATCCTGTAGATTCATTTGGAATAGCTGCCGCAGCAGCATCTAGAGCGGGAAGCAGCTCCGCCCAATCGTCTTGGTGGAAATTGACAAATGGTCGCAGTCGCTGGTCAATGATCTGGTTAATAATTTCGGTCTGGCCGTCTGTCTGCGGATGTTCTGCCGTAGATAGCTTGAGTTTGACGCGCGCTAACCTTGACAACTCATCCATGAAATCCGAAATGAATTGCGGACCGCGGTCGCTGGTAATGGTCTTCGGTGCGCCACGGAATCGCCAGACATAACGGTAGAACAAGTCTGCAGCAGTCTTTGCTGTAGCACTTTTAGTGGTGGGGATGGAGATTTGGCGTTTAGACAATCTATCAACAGCTACCCAAATGTTATTAAACCCTCGTTTGTCTGGTACCCCCACATCGTGAAAATCCATCGATATATCATCCCATGTACGTTCTGGAATGGCTAAAGGCTGTAGTAAGCCCGGTGTCTTGTCTCTAGGCTTATGCGATCGTCGGCAGACATGGCAGTTCTGCACATAACGCTCGATGTCTGCTGCGTATCGTGGCCACCAGTACCGGTCGCCGATTAGTTTCCTCATTTTGTTTCGTCCTGGATGAGCGGTGGATGTAGACTCGTGGATCATCTTCAACACTTGAGTACGGAGATTGTCTTTGGCTGACACCACCACGCGTCCCTTATGAAGCACCAACCCGGTAGGTTCCAAAGAATAAGGTTCTTCCCGCTGTCGTGCTTGCTGGCGTAGATCCTCGAGATCGG